AGATAAAAATAAATTTAGTTTTCAAAAGAGCCAACTAATCCGGGCTCTGATTAAACAACGTTGGAGAGTTTTGTTTATTCGTAAGCGATTAAAAATTTCTTTCTAATAGTTTTCAAATGGGCCAAGTTATAACTAGACACGCGCAAGAATTGAAAAATCTTCTCATTTTTTTTTTTGGATACAAAAGCATTTTATTGATAATAAAAACTGCAAACAAATTTTCTCTCTGATCTGGGGGTCTGACCATGTAAACTATTATAATGAGGTCCCTGAATTCAAATCCGAAGTCCATCTAATCCCATCACTTCAGGATACTGCCATAACCTCAAAAAAAAACACATTAGAAACTTATTTTGTTAAGGTTATAACAGAATACTTAAGTGATGGCTTTAAATGGGTCACAGATTCGGATTCAGGAATTCCAAAAACATTTAGGAAACATGGTCAACTCCGCAGATCATAAAAAATTGTTATGCTGTCTGTGTAGTTCAATTTAAGGGTTTTTTGAGGTTATGTTAAAATCCTGATCTGACGGGGTTATATTAAACAGACCTCATAGATTCGGATTCAGAATTATTGTACCTCTGCAAATTCATAAACGTAATATTTCTGCTCTATAATTTTAAGATCACTGCTCTCTAAATTTGAATCAGCGACTATTCACTTATTCCCAGCTGCATACTCTGCGCTAAAAATAAGCGAATAGTCACTAATTCATAGCGAATAGTCGCTAATTCAGATTTAGAGAGTGTATTAAGAATATTTCAACCAAGAATAATAACATATTTTGCTTAAAATTTTGTAACTATCCACCACTGCATCTGACTTTTTGAAAACTGACTTCAATTTCGTAATCAGCGACCTCAATATAATCGTTGGATACAAAGTTTCATTAAAAAAAGAGAAAACAAAGGGTGATATTTCATGTTTCGATTCGGAATAGAGAACTTGTTTTATAGATAAGAGTTAGAAGCCATAAATTAAATATTTTTTAAAGAAAAATTTTTCTAATCTTAAAATAATTTCCCACAAAAAACCGAAATTTACTATTTTTCGATATATTTTAGTCTCCGTCGATCGATGTCCACTACTAAAAATCATGTATATTTTTTGTTGACCTTGTCATGGTGGCGGGGCTTTTCATTAAACGGACAAACGGTATATGAAAACAAGATGTGAGATAAGGAGATTTAAAAAAAAATGGAAAAAAAATTCGGGTAAAGACCACAGGGGTGTTCAGTTTCTGTGGGTTCCACAAATCATTGTGGAAAGAGATGGAAGTAGTAGAGGAAGCGTTTTGAGCTTTTCTAGTGTTAGTAGTGAAAGAAGTTTGATTCGTCCTGACATAGACTAACCAGGCAATCGAGGAGAAACGCGATAAATGCATGAAGCTTAGGCAGGAAGAGACTGAATGTTTTCAAAGGATCGAAGAAGAGATCACAAAGATGATAAAATTTTGCGAAGTTCAGAAAAACGTCATTAGGACTGTTAAGAATGGACAAAAGACTCTTCAGGATCTTGTTAATGAGGCGAAGGCAAAACATGCCCTAGCTGATAACGGAGACAATCGTTTTGGTGGCGCTATAGGCTTTGCAAAAGCAAACTAGGACTGGAACAAGAAAAGAGAGTATATCCATGAGAAGTAGCTTTGGCGCATAGTCAAAAAGCGGAGAAGAAGCTCTAGCAGTCTATAGAGGATTAACGCCGGAGCGAAGAAGAAGAAGAAGCACCACATGTGAGTGATCCGAGTTGCAATTAGAAAGACGTATGCCAACGTATTGAGCAAACTTCGTAGGGGAGTGAATCCGGACGTCAGTCACACGCAGGTCGTGTGTGCAAGGTCTATAAGGCTGGTTCCAGAATGGAGCCAAACGCAACGCAGTCGCGACGCATCACAATGCTAAGCAAATGGTCTGCGTTGCGTTTGGCCCCATTCTGGAACCAGCCTAAGAAAAGGTCTGAATAGAAATGTAACCGAAATCGGAATTGCAAACGCAACCGGAAGAATGAGTTAGAGAAGGATAGATTAGATCCTTCTCTAACTCATTATTTCAGTTGCGTTTGCGGTTACGATTCCGGTTACGTTTCTATTCTGCGTTGGTCTAAAGAGAGATCTGATCAAAATCAGAGGAGTCTCCGACAAGGATGTACTTCTTGTTGGAATTCATCCAAAACGGATGTCACCAAAGCGGTTGGAAGCATTGGGAAGTGCACACGGTGGATCAGAGGGTCACATTGGAGATCCGCGACTGAGATTGCTATATCCAGGAAGAAAAAGTGCTGGAAAAGCTAGGACGCAGGTATAACCTATAAACATAGGTTTTAAGGCGCTTATACACCTCACTGTTTCTGAGTATATTCAGAATCGGACAGAGATTCCATTGATTTTGATTGGGTTTGCTCATTGAGAATTTACAAATGATTGGAAGTGTTTGAAATATTCTATGAAAAAATTCAATCAAAATATGTGGAATTTCTGTCCGATTCTGAATATACTCAAAAGTGGGGACGTTTACAAGTATCTTTATGTCGTGCCCGGTAAAGAAAAGAGTGATAGTTATACTAGATGTCATCGATGCCTTAATTATGGCCACATGAGAAAAGCTTGTAAGGCGGCTGACAGATAAGCTGCGTGTTTTAATTGCGGCAAAGCTGATCACAAGTTCGTAGACTGTAAGAGAAGTCCCAGCTGTTTCTTATGCGAAGAAGAAGTACGGTGATAAGGGGAATAAAAAACATGTCGTCGGTACAGGAGTATACAGAGTCTTTCGGTCAGCCCTCGAGGAAGCGAGGGAGACTCTTGCAAGAACAAGAAATAAATAGACCAGAAAGATTTGCAAGGGAAGTACCTGACATGTAACAGAATTGTCACTGAACCGACTTGACATTTAGCAGAATTGTAACTTAATCAATTTAACATATAACAAAATTGTCACTTGACTAACTATTTTCGGCGCGAATTTCAAAATTGTCCAATTAAAAAATATCATTCAAATTGCGATTAGTTAATTTTGAAATTCGCATCGAAAAAAGTCGGTCAAATGACAATTCTGTTACATGTCAGGTTGGTTAAGTACCTCCATGAAGTTGGTGTCGTCGTTCAGCGTCCAAAATTATTTTTCACGGGATCAATAATATCAAATCATTTTTAAAAAAGTGTTGGGTCCACATAATATCTTAAAAAATATTTCTTAAGGTATTATTTGGACTTAAAATCATAAAAAAAAATAATTTGACATTTTTGGTCTTGTGAAAAATAATTTTCGGCGCTGAACAACGACGCTAACTTTCTGGAGGAGGTGGTTAAGTGACAATTCTGTTAAATGTCTGGTCGGTTAAATGACAATTCTATGCGTTTCGGTTAAATAACAGTTCGGACTACCGGTAGTCATTACCGCTCCCGCTCCCGGAATATTCACTACCGGTAGTCAAGACCGGTAATTTTTCCTACATTACCGGTAGCCACTACCGGTAATTTTTCCGGGACTACCGGTAGTCACTACCGGTAATTCTTATGGTACTACCGGTAATATTTCCGGGACTACCGGTAGTCATTACCGGTAATTTTTCCAGGAATTACAATCAAAATTTATTACCAAATAACAAATTTTGATTGTAACTCCCGGAAAAATTACCGGTAATTTTTCCGGGACTACCGGTAATTCTTCCGGTACTACCGGTAATTTTTCCGGTACTACCGGTAGTCACTACCGGTAATTTTTTCGTTACTAACCGTAGTCACTATCGGTAATTTTTCCGGGGCTACCGGTAGTTATTACCGGTAATTTTTCCAGGAATTACAATCAAAATTTATTACCAAATAGCAAATTTTGATTTTAACTCCCGGAAAAATTACCGGTAATGACTACCGGTAATTTTGCCAGTACTACCGGTAGTTACTACCGGTAATTTTTCCGGTACTACTGGTAGTCACTACCGGTAATTTTTTCGTTACTACCGGTAGTCACTATCGGTAATATTCCGGGGCTACCGGTAGTTATTACTGGTAATTTTTCCAGGAATTACAATCAAAATTTATTACCAAATAGCAAATTTTGATTGTAACTCCCGGAAAAATTACCGATAGTGACTACCGGTAGTCCCGGAAAAATTACCGATAGTGACTACCGGTAGTAACGAAAAAATTACCGGTAGTGACTACCTGTAGTACCGGAAAAATTACCGGTAGTGCCTACCGGTAGTGGCTAGCGGTAGTCTAGGAAATATTACCGCTAGTGACTATCGGTAGTGAATATTCCGGTAGCGGGAGCGGTAATGACTACCGGTAGTCACTACCGGGAACTTTTTCACCTGGGTTGGGGAATATTCATGCTCCTTCGCATTTAAGGTTTTTTCCGTTATTTGATTATATACGGTATATGTACATATATTGTGCTATAACTTTTGATGGAAGGTAAATTCTGTCATAAAATTTTAAACCTGCATTCTAGATACATTAAGGATAGCAAAAATGTAAAAAAAAAATCGAAAAAATTTATTTTTTCCGATGAGGAATCCCCATTAAATTACCCATCTACTAGATACCCTAAGGATGATTTTTTTTTCTTTTTTATTTCGAAAAAAACAGATAGATTTGATTTTTTTTTTCAAAATGTACGGTATTTTTAAATTAAAACAGTAGTTTTTTTTTTTTTTTTTTTTTGAAAAAAGTCTTGTTTGAAAGGGAGAACAAGGTGTAATAGAAAAGTTCTCTATTTTGCGTTTACAAAGTAAACTAAAGAGAGGCATTAATCGACTCGTATATATACATATATACACATATATAGAGAGAGTGTGGGTCGTCGTATGCCGCGCGCGTAATATGCAAAACTAAAGTAAGAGTACATACATCTGTAACGTGTGATAGACAAGAGGAATACCGACGCAGGGCGTCACGATAAGTTACATCATATATAGGTGGGATGGTTTTCCAGATAGGGCTATAATTTGGAGGTGCAGCGCAAGCGCCGCATTAAAGCTCCGGGTCAACGGCAAGAACGTCGTCCCAGTCTAGTCGTACGACGAACGTCGAGCTCGACTCCTCTCTACAAGTTTTGATGCGCACCATTAATTCTGCGCGTAAATCCCATATTTTTGAACGAACCGCCAAATACAATTTTACCATCTCGAGCGTCGTTTAATTAGAAGAAGAAGGAAAAAAACAATTCTTTCCATAAAATTCGTTAAAAAAATATAACCCCCCTCCCCCCCCCAAAAAAAACAGGAGTTCAGGAACTGAAAAAAAGGGATATTAATGAAAAAGGAAAGGAAAAAAAAAGAAAAATAAAAAACTATTAAAAATTTAACGCCGGAAGTGTTTATTTTTTTTCGAAATGTTATGAAAAAGAAATTATGAAAAATTCCCTTAAAAGAACACATTTGTGTTTAATTCAAATAGCGCGTTCTTTGGTCTCGGCGAACACCTGTAGCAGCAGCGCCGGAAAACTTGCTTCTTTCAACGTTTCCCCAGGAAATTTGTGTATTTCAATGTTGTCGAAAAAAATGATTGGAAAAAAAAAGATTCATCAGATTTGTGTGAAAAAATAGAAATTGTTTTTTGTTTTTTTTTTTAACAAAAAAAAAAGAATTTGATACAATAAAAATCGTGTACTGTGATTATTTGTGTGGTTTTTTTTTTTTAAATTCTAAACTAAAACAATTGTGTGAATTTTCAATGAGAATTTTTTGACTGATTTAAATAATAATAGGGATTATTAAATATAGTTATTACTATAAATAATAATGGGAAATAATGATTTGTGTTTAATTTTGATGGTCATTTACAGGAATGAAATTTGAACACTAGAAGGAATATATTTAGAAGCTGTGTGAAAATTCATCTTTCTAAAGGAGATGATGGATTTTGTCATTTTTCATGGAAATGGTGAGTGCACCTTTTTATATTACTTTGCACAAGTGATTTTCCTTCTTTTTTCTGTCAGTTTTAAAAGATTGTCGTTCTCGATCAACGGAAACGAAATTATACACCGAGATGTGGTTTGGGCTTAACGAGAAAGTTTGACATTTTAAAAAATTGCATGTCTTAAGAAATGGATTTCTTTTTTGATTTCAAGATTATATCAGATTTTCCACTTTTTTTCTTTTGATGAATAGAAAAAAAAAAAAATTAAATTTTCTAAACGTTGAAATTTATTTAGTACATTTTTAATTGTAATTATAAATTAATTTATAATTATTGGTTTTTTTTATATTAGAAAATAATTTTAATATAGTTTTTTTTTTCACTGCAGTATAGTAATTTTAAAAATTTTAGTTCATTTTAACGTTCAGAACTTGAGGTACAATTTATTTTATTTTTTTTTTTGCATTATAATTGAGGAATAAGATGCGATAAGCTTATAATCGGGCAAATGAATAAAAGAATGTTCATTTTGTGAAAAAATAAACTTTGAAATGATATCTTTCTCGCACTTGAAATGTTGGATTACTACCTTTGACATCAAGGATATACATCTCGCTCATTTTCTATTATCTTCTTCTTTTGCGCGGAAAGAAATTATATCCGAGATGGAGAAAAAATAAGTTTTTTATATCTTCAAGAGGGGAAACTTTACATATAATTTATCTCTTTAATTTTTTATTCTTTTTTTTCATTCTTTATATTTTATTTTCTTTATTTTATTTTTTTGAAGTCCTTAATTTTGATATTCATTAACTTTTGATCCTCCAATATGGTTAATTTTTTCTTTTTTTTTTTTTTTTTAAAGAATATTAAACATTTTCGTGAGCATTCATTTACTGAAGAGTGACAGCTTGCTTTTAAGTTTCAACTACCGGAAATTGAGCACAGAAAATCGTTAACAAGAAACTAAATTAAGGAGTAAAACTTCCATTACAATATGTTTCCTCTTTCTGTGAAAGCCCCTCATCTATTTGACATTTTGCATAAAAGGGAATAAATTAACAATTCGCGTTTTTCAAAATATCGTTAAAGAAAAATTAAAAATAATATATGAATATAGTGAAGTGAAAAATATTTTAGGGAATATATAAATAAAAATTAAAAGAGAATTTATTTTATTTATTTTTCGACTTTTTTACAATTTACCAAAATGGAAAAAATAATTTTACAATAATAATAATAAATAATTATATTATTATTAATAATATAAATAAATATTTAATTAATTCATAATTTTATTCATGGAAGAATAAAATTTTATTATATGATTATTAATTTATTTTTTATAATTAAATTATTTTGAAAATAATAAGCATCTTCAAAATTTTTTTTTTTCAAGAAATGGATATTTTTTTTATTTTCTTTTCGAATCTAATATTTTCACAATGGGTGAATTTAAAAAAAAAAATAAAATTGTCCACACTCCCATAAAAGGGGATTTTCATGAAAGCTTTTATTTTACTTTTTTATTTTGAAATACTCTTTTGCGCAACTTACTTTTTCTTCGTAGGTTTTTTTTTTTTAATTATATACAATATATGGAGTTTTTTTTTTATATTTTTGAATCAGGTGACAATTGTACAAACTGATTTAAAAGGATTTTTTAAAAATAAAATTAATAATTTATTACTTATTTAGTTATTATTTATTCGTTTCTTTTTCTTTTTTATACACCAAAGAAATGTTTTATTTGAAATAAATATAATATATTTGAGTTAAATAAACATATATTTTTGTCTCACAGCCTACTATATAGCTCATTTATTTGGCGTAAATAAAATTTTTTTTATTTAAATCAAATAAATATTTATTAGGCTGTGAGACAAATATATATACCTCTTTTTCTGAGTGTAATTCTTTGGTTATTTTTTTCGTTGTCTTTTTTTAGTTATTCTTTGTTAGTTATCTTTTTTTTTTTTAGTTTTTTTTTTGTGATTGTTTTTTGGTTCAATTTTAGTAAAAGGATTTTTCTATATAAAGTTTCGTTTTCTCAAAGTTGAACGTATTTTTAAAGTTTGGTATAGACTTATTTTATAAAGTTGAGTATATATTTTGTAATAAAGTTTCATGTCCTTTTCTATATAAAGTTTAAACTTCTTTATGTGAAAACTTCACTCTGTGTTGATATATACTTTTCCTTTAGAATTGAAACGTATTACTTAAATTGTTCATTTTATTTCCTCGTTTTACATTCATTACTCTATACTTAAATAATTTTCGAATAAATACATTTTAATCCAAATTGAAAACGTAAAACTACACTCTGTAATTCTGAATTAGTTAAAAATAACAAATTTTTTGGTAAAATCTTGATTGACTTTTTGCTTCTACAATTAGCAAAAAAAAAAAAAAAAAAAAAAAATTGATTATTATTAAAAATTTATTAATTTTAAAGTGGAAAAATAAAATGAAAAATATAGTTAATTTTGACTAATTGAATTAGGTACCAGAAATTTTAGTTATTTTAACATAACCTAAAAGTGAATTTAATACTGAAAAAAAAATTATTTGATTCAAATACTCGATCACAAGACTAGTATCAATTAAATATTTACTTAAACCAATTAATTTTTATTTGAATTAAATAAATTGTATTTCAACCAATAATTTCTGTATTTGAAAGAAATACCCATTTAATTGACTCGAATAATAATTATTTGATACAAATAAATATTTATTTGATAATAGTCAAGTAATCGAGTAGGTATTTGAATCAAATAATAAAAATTAAAAAAAAAAATTTTTTTTACGATCTTTATTTTTATTATTATTATTAATTTGTTTTTAATAAACGATTAGAAAATAAATTTATTTTAAGAAGGAAAATTATAAAAATTTTTATCTAAAAAAATGCTTTTTACAATTTATTGATCAATAAACATTGAAAGAAATAATTTTTAAATTAAAATTTATAGAATTTTTCAATAAAAAAAAAACTTTCTTTAAAAATTTGTCGATTATAAACGTTGTGAATTTATTTTTCTGAAATTTTTGTATATTCAAATGAACGAAATAATTTTTTTGGTCTATAAATTTTTGGTAAAAATTACAGCATCAATGAAAAATAAAAAAGTACATTAAACATTTAATAAAATTATTCAATTATTTTCAGATACAGAAAACAAAATTTTATTATTATTTACGGAAAATTATAAATTTTTTTTGTCTAAAAAGAGATGTTTTTTTATTTTTTTATTTATTATTTAAATTATTATTATATTATTTATTCATAGAATTTTTTATTGCGAAAAATTTTTATTTACTATTTAACAATTAAAACAATAGAAAATAATAAATAGACCATTTTTTACCTTTATTTAAAAATAATGTGAAATGTAATAAGAATTTTTGTTTTTTTTTCATTTTTTCAACACTTTCTGATATTTTATTCCCCGTGGAATATTCGGGAGAACGAATCTAAAATATCTGAAATGAACTCCTATCTTAATATGGAAAATTACGATTTCTATTTCCAAAATTTAGGAATGTCTTAAAATTTTATGAGGCTACAAAGAGGATTACGAGGAGATTTTTTTTTTTTTTTTTTTTTTTCGGAGTGTTTGGTGATAATAAAGTGACTTGAGTATATTTATCACATTTTTAAGGTTTTATTTTATTGACAACAAATATACTTGAAATATAGTTTTTTTTTAAAAAATTTTTATAATCGTTAATTGTCACTAAAATGGGAAATTTTTAATTAAAAATTAGTTTTATTTTATATTTGACACAAATATTTATCTTCGATTTTTGTTTTTGGATTGAAATTAAATAACAAAAAAATATGTGAGTTTTCATTTTTGTGCTAATTTCTGGATTCTAATTTATATTGTTGATCAATATAATGGTATCAGTTCATGTATATATTATCATGCAAATGTCGCGTGAGGAATAATTATTGAAATTACAATTAACATTATTTTTTTTTGTATATTCATTTACAACTCGTTTGAGTGTATTAAATTGTGCTCATGTATATATGATAATTAAGTGTACAATCATTAACATTGTAACTGTATTTTATTGAATCGATTGTAATGAAGCTGTAATTTCAAAGTTTCTATTTTTTCCCTACTATAAATGAAAATTAATTTCAAATTAAAATTTAAAAATATTAAAATAAAAACTTTAAAACATTTTTTTTAAATACAAAATAATTAATTTTTTTTTTTATTAAATATTAATTTAAATTTCAATAAAAAAAAACTTAAAGATTAACTATTTTTCTAATTAAAAATTTTTAATAATTTTTTTATTTAAAAAAAATGGTTTTTTTTTATTGAATAAAATTATTTTTTGTATTAAAAAAAATGTTTTGTTTTTTTTTGCGAAAAGTTAATTGGCGAATTTTTACATTTGACGTAGAAACTGTGTCTTTTTCGTTTTACTTTTCCACTATTATTTTTTTTTAGCTCAATCATTAGCCAGGAAAAGTAGGGTTCGTATATGACAATAACTCGGAAATGGAATTTTTTTATTTCACCGGAAAATGATCCGTAGGTTTTTTAACTAGTTTTTTTTTTTTTTTTATTTACTTTTTTTTAGGCTTCTCTTATTTTTATGGTATATTTGGCTTACAAAGTTTTTTTTTACCTTTTTCTTTTTAGAAAAAATGGAAGTTTCATTTGGATCAATATTGTTATAATGAGAGTTTGTAATTTCAAAAAGTTTTTTTTTTAAATTTAATTTCGTTTGAATAGTACTAACTGGGAAATTACGATCATAAATGAGGAAATGAAATGCATATAAAATTCATGTTCTTGTGTAAATTCACAAATGAAATTTACTTTATATATAAAATTTATTGAATTTTGAAAAATTAATTAATTAATAAAAAAAAGTAATTACAAATATTTGTTTGATTTATAAAGTTATAGGTTGTTTTTTTCAAATAATTTAGCATTTGTTGAAGCAGTGTTAAAAATTTTTTTCAATTAGGTATTATGTTATTCATTTTATTT